GTACAGACCAACCAGGAGCCACCGGTTTGAGATGGATTTGGACTGACACACATAAACACACAAAAGGAGAGAGCTTAAACACACACACACACACACACACACACACAAATGCAGTGTGTGTGTGCACCTGTGGTACCGTGGCACGCTCCAGGCGGGCCGAGCGCCAAACCACGGCTGTGACACACACACACACAGACACGCGCGCACACACACACACACACACACACACACACACATGCACACAGACACACACACACACACAACAAAGCTGGCCCTGCTAAGCACTGCGGTCAAAACTAGTATAAGAGAGCAAAGACATTCCTCACTCCTCTGAGGCTCTGAGCTGTGCTCTCTGCTCTCAGGCCAAATGATTAGAGCGCTTTAATCAGCAGAGGCTCTGAAAGGACAGCTATCTCCCAGCATTTCATCTCCCTCACTCTGTCTCTCATTGCAGCTCTCTCTTTTCCTTCAGCGACAACCTATCTATACGATAGGCATTTTCCTTCAAAAGACAAGCACGGCAAAAGACATGCGGAGATAGGGACATTCAGAGGGGCGAGCATGAGGCGGAGAAAGAGAGATGGATGATGGTATGTCCAGCATCTTTCAACACAGAGAATCATTGTCCTGGCAGACTGGAGAGCACCCCACAGGTGTGGCTTCACCTTAGCTGCACCACAGTCGGCCACTCTGTGTGAGTGTGTGTGAGTGTGTGTGTGTGTGTGTGTGTGTGTGAGTGTGTGTGAGTGAATATGGACACTCGTCTGTCTGTGTGTGTGAGTGTGTAAGTGAGCCAGCAAACAAGTGAGTGAGTGAAAGAAGATGACAATGTGTGTCAGTGGGGGATAAAAAGGAAGAAGCTGATTTCTTCGTGTTGACTCCCTGAATCCACTGCAGCTTTATTTAAAACTAAAGTCATGTAGCATGTGGTGCGAATTAAACTCTGGCGTAAACAGTGCAGGAATTAAAATACAATTTGACACGAGGAGCTACTTGTGTCAGTTCTCTTGTTGATTTAGAGTCTGCTCTGGTTCAGGATTTAGCCTGAACCAGTGAACTGAAGGTATTAAATAAAATGCAGACACCTGAAGGCGCACCGTTTTTCTTTTGGGTCACAGGAAAGTTCAGCAACAAACTTGCACCTTACTGGCTAAATTAAAAACAAACACAAACCCATCTGTTTTGGCCCTGTAGATTCAAGTGTTTTATTCCTGACATGCTCATACAGGATGAGCAGTTCAGGTGTTTCTCAAGGCTGTGCAGCAGCAACAAGACGTTATAAAAAGGACAAATCTTTAAAACACAATGGATGTATTCACACTAAGCCTTCAAAACAGTCATGAGACAGCCTGTCTCTGGAGGCATTGTTCAGGAAAATGGGGGTGAAGTTGGTGGTAAACTGTCTTTCATCGTTGGAGCAGTTTTGATCCCTCATTTCACACATCAGCTGATCACACAGTCCACCATCAACACGCACTAATGTCTGTATTTGTTAAACAACTTTGCAAAACCAAAACTGTAGTTTGATCCACTCTGCAGCATCTTTGCTCGACAATCGATGGGAAACATTTTCGTGCTGAGATCAAGTCACTTCTTTTTCATACAGCTGAGAAAAAATTAATTTATTTTTATTTAATTTTTAGTCTGGCTTTATGAGGACAGTGACGATGATGGGGACAGAGGTTCATCCAGCTGAGGCTCAACAGTCGGCCCCTCTTCTTAGTTTTTAGGTTTTACTGATTTTGTGTGGATGCAGGTTGTGTTGTCATAAACTTCACATTCATCCACCTTCATGTGCAGACGGTCCATCATTTAACCGTATTACTCTATATTCAGTGGATACAGGCAGAAGATGTTCAGTTTATCCTTTAGGGATTCTAACTGTCTCCCCACAGGTTTACATCTACAGCAAGTGGCAGAAAACTAGCAAAGTTGAGGGGCTCCATGTGCCAGTCACACAAGGACAGAGACCAGAGAGCCTCCATGACTCTACATCCCACAGTGACCTTGACTGGGCTGTGAATGAACAGTGGGAGGATTCAATAAAAAAAAAAGAAAAAAGCATCACAAAGCTTCACATTCAAACGCTGCTGCTTTGCAGAAGTGTGTGAGAGACGGAGAGCAGAAACATTTGATGCTCTGATGAAACGCTGAAGAACATCACATCAGACAAACACGGGCCCACGTGAACAGAAAATATGTTATCAGCAGATCTGCAGCCGATCTGTCTGTCTGTCTGTCTGTCTGTCTGTCTGTCTGTCTGTCGGACTGTCACACACCTTGCAGAGCTGAGCCTATATGGATTGTTTTATGATGACATATCCACTGCGCCTAGAGGGCCACCTGACATTCCTCACTGTGAACACACACCATCACACCACCGCCTCCACCAGCCTCCTGTCCCGTCTCACTGCAGGCAACACACACTCCTCTCACCTCCCGTCTCTCTCTTTCTCTTCACTCCTGTCTGCTATTCTTTAAACACCTTAAACTTTAATAGTCACACAGCTGAACTGACGTGAAACTGTGTTATTCAGTCTGATTAAAACTTTTTTGAGCATTCCTTTCTGGGAATTCACTGCTTAACAACCATTAATTCATTCATTCAGTGTCAATGCAGCAGAGAAAACACACCAAGGACGATTTATAGTGAAATATTTATTAGATATTTTTTTTTAGTAACAATAAAAGGTCCATATTTAAGGGAGACTGTCACCTAATTTACTTTCATATCTTTATCTTTCTTGTGCCTTGACTGCCGAGCTCATGTGCTCATTTAAATCTAATTTATCTTTGGATCAGACTCTCAGGAGAACCCTACAGAACCACTCTAACGTGTGAGTGTTTAGGTGAGGGCCGGTACGCTCGTGCTGCCTGGCGGTGCTGTGCGCAAACGTGTTGTTTTAAAAGCAGGATTCCGCCCCATTGCGCGCAAAAAACGCAAATAAAATTTGGTTAATTAGGGAGATCATTAAAAGCACATGTTGGCACGAGACAGAACGGCAGAAAACACGTGGTAAATAGACACTCACCACCACAGTCCGATGATGTTGACCGGACAGAGCAGGATAAAGAACAGGGCCAGCTGGATCCGTGATAGACGAACCGTCATGTTGAAATCCTCCAGGAGATTCCCCAGCAAAGTTTAAAGTGACGAGTTGAGCCAACCCCGAGCTTGATTATTTCTTAAATACATAGGAGGTCCTTGATTTCTGACGGCACGAATCAGCAAAAGCTCTCTGGAAACTGTCTGTCAACGAGAGCGCAAAAATCCAAGTCCTCTTCTGAAGGGCGCATCTTAATGCGCAACAAAGTTGGTCAAGAGGCTACTGAAGAGATGTCCGCTTTCAAAGGTGTGGTTAACCTCTTCATTGTCCTTCTGCTCTATGTGTCGCAGCGCATTACATGCCCTCAAAGGAGGAAAGACAATACTGAGAGCAGCGTCTCCGACTGCGGAACGGCGCACGAAAGAGGTCCGGGTAAGTGGATACGCGCAGTCCCGCCACTCTTTGGGGACTTTTTTCAAAAAATGGCATTATCGTAGGAACACGACAGAGAGGAAGAGGAGCGCTGCTGCATTTCTAACAAATAAAAATAAAAGTGTAGCTGGTGCTGCGAGCTGTTGGTCCGCTGGGTTTACGCGCTCTGAGCTGACGCACTGATGAAGCGGGTGAAATAATTCTGGGTGCCCACCGGCTGCAGGTAGAGGCGTCTCTGCTGCAGTCTGTCGATGTGTTTTCTTTGGATGATAAAGGGAGGAAAAATGCGCTCGTCTCCTTCCACCTTAGTGTGACGTCGCTCCGGGCGAAGCCAAATTCTCGCTGTCACTCAGAGAGGGAGAGAGAAAGACACTGCAATTAGTTTTTGGAGGACCCGGCTGAGAGCAGAGACGGAGTAAACACACACACACACACACACACACACACACACACACACACACACACACAGGCCTGTCATATAGTGTGTCTACGGCCACCAGAAATCAGAGCTGATGGAATGAGGTGATGTCAGTACAGGTGTGATAACACTTCTCTGATATTTGTGCCAACTGACTGGCACGTTGTGAGGCCATCTGGGTGGGTGTCTGGTTCACTTTGTCTCTGACTGTCACCTCATTTCTGCTCTACAATCCGAAGAAATGATCATAAAGAGCAAACTACACAAAATAAGTGGTTAAAAAGATGTTCTGGAGACGAAACATTTATAATGTTCTGTAGCACTAAATGTGTGTGTGTGTGTGTGTGTGTGTGTGTGTGTGTGTGTGTGGGGCCTGGCTGGTGTTATTACCTATCTGGCCAAGGGCACATCCATTGAAATCGAACACCTCTGTACTGTAGTCGCCCATAAAGGCCCTGACACCCGACTTCGTTCCACTGCAGTGATGCAATCAATCACAAGTGCAGCACAGACAAACTCAGCCACCCGACCACGGCTGTCCTCCACCACGGTTTCCATTACATTCAACAAATCATAATGTGGCTTTTATGCCCATCAGTGCCTTTAATCACTCAGACTGGATCCCTCGGTCACGGCTGACCGGGGAGAAGTTGTGACTTCTAGACTTTGACTCGACTCGTGCGGAGGACAGATCGATGTTCTGTTCAAAGTCGGACACCTATTGTCTTGGTTTTTGCAGGTTCTGACCCAAAGGGACACATTTCATTTATTTATCCAGACTTCTCAGCCGTGTCAGTGTTTTCGTACGTCAGCGCTGTGAGAAAAGGTTGAATCAGCTCGAAACAAATCTGCTGTACATGTTCTGGGTTCACATTGCAGCTCATCATAGATGTTTTAAAATGAAAGGTTCTGATCCATGTTCCTTAACTTTCTGTCTGCCTCCACATTAAAATC